CCCCCCCCAATATATATTTTTATGGATATTTCAAGACCATAACATTGGCTAATGGCCGTGCTTACACTTTCAAAATTTCGGAGCGGAAAGCTACATAAACCGCGTGCAATGCGGCGCATAAAGGACCAGCATTTCCATGGAAATTTCAGGACCATAACATTGGATAACGGCCGTGCTTACGGACTAAAAATTTCGGAGCGGTACACAGCCTTATATGCAAGCGCACGCCGGTATATTTTCCGACGCATGCGCAGGTTACACCCGGCCGTAGGGTCGGAAAAAATCCGACCATTGTCGTAGAAATTTAGCGAGGCATTAGGGTCGGATATTTGTGGGTCGGGAAAAACCGACCCAACCAGGGTCGTGGATGTATACTAGCGTAGGGTCGGATTTTTCCTACCACTGGACTAACAGTGAAGGATCTCGGTGATGGACACCCGGACCTCCGGGGGTTTCAGGTTGCTGTACATCTGTGGGGTGATGATGTGAGGTCTGGAGGCGGACGGCGCTGGAACGTTCTGCTTGTACAAGCAGTCGTTAAAAGGGGTAGTTATCCGGGGGTGCAATTTAGCGTTTTCTGGAGGATCGTGTTTCTGAGTTTCTCGTGACGGGGCTGGAACCACTGCTGACTGGGAACAGATCAAGTCTAACGTTGGACCTTTCTCTCTGGATTGACTGGTTTTCTCAAAAATTCAGAAATATTCTAAAACGTTCCGTCACCATGGCACTGACTGGCTGTCAAGCTAATTCATCCGCTGGCCGAACTTTCCCTTGACAGCCCAGCAGCGTCTGCGAGCACATAGTACGTTGGTTTGGAAGTTTGGCCGGAACTGCATCCCATCGCGTAGTTCAGTTTCGTTCAGATCGTTTGTGAAAGTGAGTGAAGTGCGGAAGAAGGTGACGAGCATGAAGCCGTCGTCGTCATCGCCCTCGCGTCCATGTACGCCTACGACTCCGCCGCTCGGCCCCACGCCCACCCGCCGCCCGTGTCAAACCTCAGCTACGTCCTCAGCCTCGGTTAGGTCCACCACCTCACGCTCACGCACGCGGACGCCTTCCGCTGCGTCGACATCAAGCACCACATTAAACGGTGAGCTCGAGCAGACGCCGACGGCGCCGACGTTGTCGAAGCGTGCTGTAGCCATGGCCAAACTGGACTCATATGCCAAACAGCTTGCGCTAGGGACCCTTGGTGTTGGGGATAACAAGAAGCCACGGGCGGTGCAGCCGGGGGACAAATTTGATGTATGGCAGAAGCTCGACTTCATAATGCATGAGAAAACGGAAATTCCGGTTGATGCTGTGCAGTGCAAAATGTGCAAGACCGTACTGTCGTAAAATGTGAACACTACGGGCAACAGTAACCTGACCAGTCACGTTAGAAATTCTTGCAAGAAACAGAAACCAGTAGAAGAAGAAGTGTTTATGATGTGTTCTGAAGATGCAAAGTCTAGGTTTATTGACAAAATGGCTGATGCATGTGCACCTCAATAAACCACATCAGAAATGAAGTTTTTGTGGAGTTGTTTCAACTTGCTATTGATATAGGCCATAACGTAGGTCGCGTTGACGCGCGGGAGCTCGTCCCCGCTGTGAGCACGTTGTCACAAAGCATGGAAGATAGGGCCGCAGAGGCGAGGGGCGACGTGATCAAGCGTGTGATCGAGGCCATCGAGGACGGGTGTTGGCGCTTCAGCACCGACGTGTGGACGGAGTTCAATTCGTTTAGTTGGCTGAGCGATTAGAGAAGCCCATAATTCCACTGACCGAAAAAGTTTCATTCTGTTTGTGTGTTTGTTTGTCTGTCTGTCCGCACGATAACACGAGAGCGAATTGAGCTAGCAACCTGAAATTTTCAGGGTCGTTTTGTGTCATAAAAAGACAGATCGAGTTCGAAGATGAGCATTCTAGCTCAAAAATTGGCTTTTTAAAAAATCAAAAACTACAGGTCGCAAAATGTATTTTTATCATATTTTTTATGGGTTCCTGAGGGGTAAACCGTCAAAGTAGAGCCCTACGGGCGAAAATTTCGTCCGTTTGGCTATATCTTGTACCTTTTAGGTAGTAGGGGGCATTTCTTATCAAAAATGAGGTGAAAATGATCAAATGGTCGATTAAATCGTTAAAAAGACTTCACTTTGAAAAATTGTATATATACTCCTGTTACCCCGTCTCGGGTGTCAGCGCCGCAGGCCTAGCTATATGTGCGCCAGGCGCGTCGCAGCGTAACAGTGTTTCGTGAGATATCGCGAAGCCTGTTACGCGAGACGTGGTCTGGCGTTCATATAGCTAGTTTCATGCATACTTCTCAAACCAAGAGTGCACGCCGCATTTCCTGGTAATGACTAAACAAGGTAGGTGTACGCCAGACCACGTCTCGCGTAACAGGCTTCGCGATACCTCACGAAACACTGTTACGCTGCGACGCGCCTGGCATACATCTACCTTGGCCTGCGGCGCTGACACCCGAGTCAGGTAGTGCCAAAATGTGCACAAAGATACGGGCCTCCGGCCCGTCAACGCCCGCCACTTCGACTTATCATGCAGGGTTGTACATTTTTTCGCTTATTTTCGTCAAAAACACCCTCTAGCGTCTCGACGGTTCAAGCTAGAGCAAAACGGACAAAATTTTCGTCCATAGGCATAGGGTTCTACTTTGTTGAGTTACCCCTTAGGAAACCATAAAATAATATTTTTAAAAAACGTCATTTTTGGGAACTGTTGTTTTCGATTTTTTAAAGATCCAATTTTTGAGCTACAATGCTCATCTTCGAACTCGACCTGTCTTTTTATGATACAAAACTACCCTGAAAATCCCAGGTCGCTCGCTCAATTCGTTTTCGAGTTTTCGTGCGGACAGATAGACAGACACACAGACAGACGGACAGACAGAAAAAGTTTTTTTCCGACCAGACGGAGTAATAGGCTTCGCTAAGCTAATCGCTCAGCCAATAATTATAGAGTTGTGGATGTTAACATATTCATCCAAAGGTAAAGTGGAAAGGTTGGCTTGTACACCTTTGTACCACATCTTCAAACTATTTAGGTCAACCACTTCAGCAGACTTTTATAACTTTGAGGTACATTTGGAAATGATCTGTGGAGTAGACGTAGCAGCTTGTCCAGCTTCCGCATTGACATCACACCACCATCAAGGGCCCATTGTCTCAGCTGATTGTTAATATGCTCTCCTAGCTCTTCATTATTTCCAAAAACCAATGGACCATTATCATCTTCACTGCTAGCCTCTGACTCGCTCTCTATGTCAGTACCACTATGATTTGCACCATTGAATTCAAAGGCTGAACTGTCACTATCACCGTTGTCAGAGGGAGGACCATCGTCATTGTCAGAGGGAGGACCGTCATCATTGTCAGAGGGAGGACCGTCATTGTCAGATGGAGAACTGTCATCACTGTTGTCAGACGGAGGACTATCATCACTGTTGTCAGATGGAGGACTGTCATCACTGTTGTCAGACTGGGGACTGTCACTGTTGTCAGACGGTGGACTGTCCTCGTTGTCAGAACTATCCTGATCCTGATCTGAGTCATTCTACTGGCCCCTGTGCACAGCATTCCTCAACTCCTCAAGGCGAGTTCTTTTGGCTATCAGTTTCCTTGCCTTCTCATCAAAAGCCCTCTTAAATGCAAAACAGATTGTAGTACTGATCTTTTCAGGGTGGAGAAAGGGAAGGAAGACAAAACAGCAATATACACTAAAATCCACGATAGGCTAAGCGCCTCGTCAATCAGAAGTCACTCCGAAATCTCTCTCAATTCGATGCCGAAGTGTCCCATAGTGAGATGTATATCGACATTAAATCGAAGACATTTGCGATGAAACTTCTCAGGACGGTATAACCTAACAGGGTATTGCGTTTCTTTTTCTCGTTAGTTACATACTGGTTACTATCAGTAATGATCTAAAATATGTTTGCTGTTTCATTTCAATGAATTATACTCAACTTTAAGTGTAATGATACTCACCGGTTTATCTCCCATCTTAATTAATTGTACGAGCGAAATGACGTGAACAGGTGGTCGGGTGACTTGCATCCGGAACCGGATGTGTTGTTGAGGTCGCAAGTCTCTCGAATTTTCCCCTCTCAACGATGCACCGAGAGCAGCCGGAATCTGCGCTAGTCACAGAGCGCGCAAAGGAGCGCGCGCGACGCACGAGCGATATCAACGGCATCGGAACGATATCGAATCGATACTGCGCTTCTCACTGGGATTATGTTATTCAGTCACAGTCAAGTTGTAAATACGGGCACCTGTTGTGGGGCGGTGTAGCGCTCGACATCCCATCGGTCTCAGTTGCTGCCATTTCCACTACCAATTCAAATTGACCGGTTTGTCAGTTCATTTCTTGTTATGCCTGTACCCCGAACCCCGAATGGTCCACAAACACAGTGCAACATAACCTACCACCCCCTCGAGAAACCTCCAGTTTCACAACAAGTTACTGAGTGACATTTCGAGCACGATACGAGGCACAATAAAGACAGTTACAGTGATTAAATAGTACCAAATGTAAAGACCACAAAATTACTCTAAGAAACGCTACATATTCACGTTGTCACAATTACAGATTTCTATCCGACTATCCGAGCGAGCCCACTATTACTATTTGCAGTGGCATCAGCTTTATTTGAAGGAGCTGTGTGTCTTCATTTGTTTGCTTGCCAGCAGAAAACAGAACCATCAACAAGCAGACAATGACAACAAGCGCACAATTGGAGTAAGTCGAAAAGGTGTAAAGGATTAGAGAAAAATGGTTTCAAACTGAAAATTTACTGTAGTAGTCAACTCAGAATTTCACCCTCTATCACATATCCAAAATCGCCGAAAATCCCCGCACTGCATTTTTGTTGGGAGGCATTCGAAGTTGAAACAATGATTTTAATAGTTAAAATAAGGTTTGAGTCGATTCAGATGGCGTTTTCTCTCTTGGATTCGGGAACGAAGTGTCTCTTGGGTGTTCTGAGCGTGCTGAACCCGAATCTGAATGTTACCGAGCTGAAGTCGCTCTCCTTATGGCTCAAAAACAAGATGGCGGCCAAAACAAGGGCCTTAATGACCGTATTTCGGAAGCATGCCATTATTGGCGTGTTTGGTATCGGTTCCTATGTTTTCGGGGTCGCTGTGCACGAATGTTGGCATGGCAAGTCCCCACGGCCATCGGAAGTGGCCAAATCCAAGACGGCGGCCGCTGCCGCGCCAATGTTTCAAAGCAGTAGCTTCGTTTGTGTTGCGATCTTTACGTTTGGCGATGGGTTGGTGCTGTGTGTGGTTGGGTGGGTGGGTGCGCGCGCTCGCGTGTGTGCGTGCGTGTGCGTGCGTGTGCGTGCGCGTGTGCGTGGGTTACGGTCGTCTGTTCGTGTCGTGCTCTAGGACCGGATGTCTCGAAAATGCACTGACCCCGAACCAGGAGCAAGGGGCGATTGATGGGGTTTGAAATATTTCATTATAATTTGTAATTCGAATGAATAGTTCAACAGTTGGCAGCAGTTCGCCGCCGCGGCGCAGTGTGGCCAGTTGCCACTAGGTGGCGCTTGCGCAGCACCAGGGTGCGAGTGAAGTGCGAACGGCTCACCTCACGATTTTGATACCTTCTCAACAGTGATTCTAATATCAGCTGGTCAAACTAAGTGCGGTATTTTTAGTTTTAGAGTTGCGGAACTCAGC